CCAAGTTGGGGTTCAAGCATGGTCGGGCGTCCTCGCTCATTCTCCGGCTTGTGGTTTCGATAGAGAGTAGAAACTGGCCTGATAGAGGTATAAGCGAAAGCTTCCGAGTCCTTCTTAGGACGGTCGACACTAATTGTTGATGATTATTGTCGTCTGCGATAGTGTTAGCTGCTCTGGACGGAATTCGAAGAAGCTACTTTTTTGGGGGGGGTAGTTAACCCTTTCGTTATAATAGACGATTACAGTCATCTTAAGATAGCAGGTGTTCGATAGAAATTTCAGGATTTTGGTCGAGTGAGCCTGTTTGTGCACCGATATCGATAAAATTGTGCAAAAAGATTATGTTAATTGTGCATTCTTCGGTGCAGTCAAAGTTTCATTCAAAAAGAATGAAAGTAGATCGGTTATCCAAATAATTTTACCATTTTTCTAGCAGCTGAGAGTACCATTGCTATAGAAACTCTATTCATTTCTACAGCTAATATATTAAACTAGATCATTGAACAAACTTTTTTATTTCATCCCTATATTTCTTTGCTCTTTGACTTACCACCATCAAACGCTAAAGAAAACCAAAAGAACGCCTTCAGCTGTAATCAGAAAAATGCAAAGTATTCCCTCGATGTATCGAAAATTTCCCAAAGAAATGTTCATCGAATTTCTTTACTTTATCTCTATATTTCTTCTCTCTTTAACTTACCACCATCAAACGCTAAAGAAAACCAAGAGAAATGAAGAGAAACCCTGCACCTATTATAATCCGAAAAATGCAAATTCCCCGGATATATCGAAAATTTGCCAAAGAAACGTTCACCGAGAGAAAGTGATCGAATCGGATGAAATTCCTCAACGCGTACAGTGCACGGAGGCGACCGGAAACAAAGGGAGAGAAGGATGTCGAGTCTCGCATCTGCCGTAGGAATCAATAGCAATCAAATTTCCGGCTGCATCAATATTCGAGGGGCTGCGTTCTCCAGTAGAATGCCGCCCGATAAAATCCACGCGTCCTCCGTAAAAGTCCTCCTTGTTCGCTTTGACTGAGAGGGGTTTGCAAGCCTGATCCATCTGCAGTTCCTCGTCGGGGAATAAAAATGAAAGGATTGTTCCGCGATGCTGTCTCTCTCTCTCAACTTCCACCGTCCTCTTCTTCAGATTCGTCGAAAGACGGATAGACTTGTCGTCGTCGTCCACGGCACGCTTTTCCTTCGCGTTCGTGTTTTCTTGTCCAACCGTTGTACACGCTTTTTCGATCGGCAGACTCAATCGAAAGTGCCCGCCGACTGGCTCTACTCCGAGCTTCTCTGTTTCAGCCGCGATCCTTTTTTCCGCGTCCGCGAACAAGGAACGAGGGACACCGGACGAGTTTTTCACGCCGCTTCGTAGAAGCAGCTCGAGATTGAATTATTTACAGGCTCGAGCGAGTGTTTGATTGACTCTGGCTAAGGAGCTAGCTGTTCTATTCGACGATCCAGAGAATTTCCGTGTGGGATTGGAGAAGAGGCGCGGTTCGGGCGTTGTGGAGGAATTATTGAACGGTTGTTGTGGAAAGTTTACGATAAAAAAGGGTCTGAGAGTTTAGTGGGAAGTTGCGGAGTTATAGGAGGAATTGGATGGTCATAATAGAAAGTTTATGATAAAACAGGGTTTGAGAATTTAGGGGATTACAGTGTTCACTGAGAGAAGTAAGAAATGTGTAATTAACTCAAGTCTAGAATCAATCCTTTCGAGGTAGAATCCACTAAGAAGCCACTCAAGTCTTGGACCCCTTTTTTATCACCCTGTAAGTAAGAATTTTACTTCAAGTTTGACATGAATTATTGCAAGATTGAACAATAAATGGGAATTGAAAAAGATTCAAGACTTCTTCATTTCTCTCCTGCACCCTTCCTACACTACCGGCGAAAAATTTGGAATCACCTGCCAATTTGCATCAATATGGAATCCGCTGCTAATTCTTCACTGACTTGAGATTGACGTTGTGGAGGTCAATAGCACTTTACCTCGTTTCAATCGATTTGAACGATAACAAATTCGTTAAAAAATTTTTATAAATTTTTTTAAGAATTTTGGTGCAACTTGCAATGCATAGTGATTCCAAACATTTGGCCGGTAGCGTAGTTAAAGGACATTCGTAAAAACCGTGCATCCAGATCTTCTTAAAAAATGTCCACTGAGAATGATATCAAAAAATCCTCGACTTGAAAAAATACCTATCTACACTCCATACTCTACAATTAAACCCTTTCTCCCCAAAAAATTGAAATCGCAAACCAAGAAGCACAACGAACTAAAATAGCCCATCTCTACCTCACTTCCTGTCTCTCTCAACAACAACATTCGACAAACTCTCAACCCTTTACCCTGTAACGACGAGTGACCCTCGCTCCTCCTCGCCCCAGCCATTAAAAAATCGCAAACGAGCGTGTCCACTCGGAATCCTCCCAAAGAAAGCCGTCTCAACCCTGCGAAATCCCTCGGAAGAACCTTCGACCTCGTTTCCAGATCGTCTTCAGCACCGAATCTTGTAGCAAGCCGACGTCCCCGATTCACCAACGATCCCCGCTGAAGCTTCAATCGAAGATTCGACCAGCCAGATTTCCCCGGTTCTTCGTTGTGCGTCGTTAAACTGCAAGTTTCGTTGTATCGTCACGGAAGAGAGGAGAGAAGAGACACACAGGAGGAACCATGGTGGATCCCGGGCCGGTTCCGCGAGGCCCTCCAGGCGATCATGAATACTACACACAGCGAAGGCACGCGCACAAACACACAGCCACACTACTGTGGCTGCATCAGAAAATTTCATCGGGCTTCGCGATGCCCGATAGCCGAGATTACGTAATAGAGATCGGCTGGCGGGTGAGATTCAACCTGACCGGCCTTCGTTTCGCTCCGGTGTTGCTCGAGGAGGAAGGAGGAGCCCTAGATCGAAGATAAGGGCGCTGGAGACAGGTTTTCGGGGTAGAGGTGGATATTGGCTTGCTACGCTACGGCGCGTTAGCCTCCGCTTCTCGCATCGGTTTCTCTGGGGATTTTTCGTTGCTGTCGAGGAAACACGGGAAATTTGGAATGTTCTTTGTTAATCAGGCGAGGGTAGAAATGTTTATGACGAAGGAGGGAGAAGGTTTACACTACCGGCCAAAAATTTGGAATGATTTATCAATTTACACCAATACTGAATCTACTTTTTTATACATCTGAAATGATGAAATTCGATGAACTTAAATGATAGAAATTTCGTTAAAAAGTTCTTAAAATTGCTTACCCTATTCTGCAAAGTTTTGTGTAATTTGCAATGCACAGTGATCCCAAACTTATGGCCGGTAGTGTATTCGAGTTTTGAAAGTAATTTGAGAATGTGTCGTATTGGAAGTGTCTGAATGGTATTCGCATATTCGAAGCAATTGCATAGCATTCGAATAAGTCTGATAATTCCAATATTCGAGTAATTCGGATAACTCGAGTATTCGAAGCGTTCGAGTGGTATTAGAATAATCCTGATAATTCGAGTATTCGAAGCGTTCGAGTAGTATCCGAGTAATTCGGATAATTCGAATAGTCCGGCTGTTCCGAATTTAACAGTCCTACTTCTCTAATCGCAGTGCATTTTATTTCCGGGGTCCACAGACTAAGTTCGCCTCGCGAAAATTGAGATAGTGTGAAGAAGGGTAGATAGAGGAGAGGTCGAATTTCGGAGAGAGTGCCAGATTTCGTAGGACACGGCGCATAGATCAAGGAAATTTTCATTTTTCATCAACCACCAGTTGCCTGTTCGCGGTCGCGCGTTCCACACGCCAAGCGATACATTCTGGCCGCATGACTCGAAAGCTGCACGGAGATTATTCCTGCCCGCGCTTTAATGGCGAATATTCGCCGCGGAACGTGAGCCACGTCACGTACGCACGTTTGCGTTGGAAATTCGGCGAAATAGCAATTAGCACGGATAACTTTTCTGTTATCTACAATTAGAAAACGGTTTACAGTTTATAGGCACGAACAGAAACAAAGGAAAAAAATAGAGAGAAAATTCGAAAGAAGAAAGGAAGGTAAAGGAAAAATCGAGCGAATTCCATTGGGATTTGGGAATACCGGACAAACAACTGGAATGTGTACATAGGATGAGGACGCTGGGCAAAACTCATCTTTACAGACGTTTTCTTATACACCGATAGTCGCGGCCGGAACGAATAGAAACTAGGAGAGACCGAGGAGGAAGAAATAGCAAAAGATCCTGAGAAGGATAGGAATGTTTGCCTCACAGTCCTGGGACAGTGAATCATCTTCCAGTTGTGGAGTTAAAGATAACGACGATCATTGCGATCATTGGAATACTCGAAAAGTTCATTCACCAAACAAATAATTATCACCAAATCTCAAAAGAAACCCGAGAACAGTGCAATGCAAATTCCCACGCACCACGGAACTCCAAAAAACGGGAGAGAATTCTCCAAGGTAAACAGAAAGTGAGAGGAAAGGAGCTCAGCAGGACAAACGATCGTTATGGAAATCTGCGAGCTTCCTGAGCAGCCAGCTTCCCCGCGTCATAAAGTAAGCACGCATCCTCGCGGTTAGGATCCTCTTGGCACGGGACGGGGGAGAGGTCATCGTGCATCGAGCGCGGAGGTGGCTCAAGATAAGAAGGGACACGAGCCGCGGTACGCGGGACGAGAGGTGAAACAGAGAAAACGAAAAACACACGTTCATCCGCTGGATGAGCACACACACACATATCTCAAGGTGTGCGTAGCAGAAAGAGAAGAGAAGAAGAAAAGAGCGACGATTCGACAGAGACGTAAAATTCGGCTGATACGAAGTTTCACGAAGCGCAGACACGTTAGGAAGGCAGAAGAGAAAATCATACGCTTCTCTTGGCGGCAGCGAGACAGGACGAAGAAGAACGAGCGTTTAAGTATATGTTAAGCGTCCCGGGGAAAATGAAGCAGCCAAGGTAGAAGAAGAAGAGAGTACATTGGAAAATAGAATGTTCGTTGGTGTGTACGACGATGAGAAACAAAAAGGGTGCGTGTATCGCGACGGCAAAAGTGTGTACGGAGAGGAAGGAAAAGGGTCAAGGAGGCGGAGAAGAGATCGTCTTCGAGAAGAAAGAGAATCTGCGGTGGGACGAAGAGGATATCGCGTGGACCACGAGAGAACGAAGAAGAAGAAGAAGAAGAAGAGGGAAGAAGGGAGCCAAGGTAAAAGGGAGATGTGAGCGAGAGAGGAGGCGAGGGGACGAGGTCTGGGTTGGGTAAGGTGAGGGCTCCTACGGGTGAGTACCACTCACTTCATTGACTCGTGCGTACGCCCGCACGTCTGTCAGTCCATCCTCACTCACTCGATCCTCGCCTGCCGTCTCTCGTAGCCGTTCGACGGAGGCCAGTTTCTCCTCACCATCGAGTTCTCCATCGGTTATCTCACCGCCGGCTTTATCATCCTCAACCTAACCTTCCCTCCTCGTCGCATCGATCCACCTCGCGTTCTACGACCTACGGTGAAGTCGAGGTACCGCTTCGTAGAATCGATATCTACCTACCAGGCAGATTAATCGCCGGAATTGTGACCGTTCCAAGGACTAACTCTCGCGGGTGGGTGTCGACCGGTAGGAAGGACAGGATGACCCTGGCAGGTCTGCGAGGAATACTCGCTCTTCTAGCTGTCCTCGCGGTCGTGATCGAGACCTCGTGGACGGAGGCGAAGCCTCAGCAGATCAAACCTGGTGAGTGTTTTCTTCGATTTCCCCTTTTTTAGAGATCGTTTCTCGGTGAATCGTACTGCGTGAAACTTTTAATCGTGAACACTGTGATCCTTCATCTTCAATTCTTCACTTTTAAATTCTTATCGTGTTTCGATGTTATTCCTTCTCTAAAATTTCTACGTTGTCGCGGTTTTGGTATGGACAGTTGTTTCGAAGGATTAATTAGAGCACGGGCAGGATCTGAAACGATGTTTCCTTGTTCGCGTAGCTTGTTCATTACGGTTCAGAGTTTATCGACGTGGATCAGAACGGTGAAAGAAGAGGAAGATGATTGAAAACCGTAACGTACCGTTGTTGGGTTAAATGATCGACTTGAAGAAGAAGAAGATGAAGAGGAAGAAAGTTCGTGTAACCGACATCATTGGCAGATGTCAGGAATGAAAGCACGCGTGTATATACACGCGTGTTCCCACGAAGACGACGTGGGAGCATCTGAAACGCGGCATTGTTCGATCGTTCGTTGCGCAATTCCACCGGATCAGGGTTAACGCACCGGCACGATTACGTTACCGGAATTCATCCTCGGGACGATCGATCGATCATATATGATCGATGTGATCGATCGTCGGCGGGAGTCCTTTGATTTCGAACCAGATCGGTTTCTCTTTTGGCTAGCAGGGAGTACAGGTGGTCCAGCGAGACTTGACGTTCCGTTTCGTCAACAGCAGATGCTTTTTGTAATGGGCATTTGTTTGTTGAAAATTTCATTTAATTTAATTTCAAACTCCAATTCAGATTCAATATTCAAATTGCAAATTTCAATTCAATCTTCAAATTTTCAATACAAATTTAATCACAGACTTAAATTCAAATTTCATTCAAATTAAAAATTGCAATTGAAATTCAACATCGAAGTTTCAACTGAAACGCCGAGTTCCCATATGGATTTTAAATGGCCACGAGGTCCGTTCCAAACTTGTGCAATCATCACCTCATTTTTCGCGCGCACCGAACCTGTCCACTTTCAAGAGCGGCTCAGACAAACGTGCTAATTAATGGAAATTTATTTAAACCGATTCGCGTGGCCGATGCAAATCACGCGCGATTCTTTCTCTCTCTTTCTCTCCTTCGTTTCTTTCACTACCGATCATCGAATCGAATAGAATGCACGTCACTTCTCACACCATCAACTTACCTAAACTATCTCTCTCTATTCCTCTCCAACTTTCGATTCTCAAATGCTTAACGATCCGGTGGGAATCGTCGTTTGAACGTTCAACTAAGGAAACACATACACGCACACCGTGTGCAGTTTAGCGTCACGAACGTCCAAGAATAGTTGGCGTAACGATAGGACCAGCCCAAGCCAACCTGAGTTTATGTACCTTAGCAGACCGCACGCTTTCGGCGTTATACGACCGCTGTAAATGTCCTAAGAACTTTAGCTGTTTCGCTGGCGTTTGTCCCCTCTCTCTCTCTTCACCTCCTATTCCGGACGCGGAATTATTGTCTTCAGCAGCGAGACTCGCGCGTCTCAAACTTCTACGCCCGTGGAAATATTTCAAGCAAACGTTCTACGTTTATGTACTGTATTCCTCTCCTCCGGTGTGTATTATACTCCGTGTTTCTTCCGGTGATGGAGTACATGGTGGACAATGAGCGATGCCGAACGAGTATTTTGTAAATTAATTTGCCTGGGAGGAATTTATCGATTCGACGGTTGTCTGGAATTTCTGGAATTTGTTCGTTTAGAGGGAAGTGCTTTGGGTAACAATTTTTATTATTGGGATTTTTAGAAAAAATTTGGCACTTTAAGAATTTTTTGATGAATTTTGGGTAAATCGGAAGGATTAATTGGAAATTTACGAAGAACTGGTAGTAGGTTTGTGATTAGTGTGAATTGGGCAGAGTGTAGGAAGATTTATGAAAGAAGAATAGAGATTCGCGAACTTCTCATCTTAGCCTAGATTCGTACAAAATAGCACACGTACTCGACATCTCCAATTCGAATCCACGTCGATTCCTCGAGTTCCACAACGTCCATCAACGACGTCTCATTGTCCCAGCAGGATCTATGTGTGTCATCGCGCGAAGCCGCAAATATCGCGAGCCCTTTCACCTCGGATATTCTGTTAATTCACCGGAAACGTCCTGCACGATGGGGAAAATTCAGTTTCTCGTGAATCTCGACAGAACGGGTGACAAGTTTAACCCTTTCATATCTGTAGTCACGAATGAATATCTCAAAAACGAAAGAAGTTTTCTGCATCCATTGATGAGATCTATAACACTTCGAATACAATTCAAGATCTTCGAGATCTATCGAAACTTTAAAGACTCAAGATCCAAGAATTCCAAGTTTTCGAAGAATCAAGGTCCAAGACTTTCAAGTTTTCAAAGACTCAAGGTCCAAGACTTTCAAGTTTTCAAAGACTCAAGGTCCAAGACTTTCAAGTTTTCAAAGACTCAAGGTCCAAGTCTTTCAAGTTTTCGAAGACTCAAGGTCCAAGACTTTCAAGTTTTCAAAGACTCAAGGTCCAAGACTTTCAAGTTTTCAAAGACTCAAGGTCCAAGTCTTTAAAGACTCAAGATCCCCAAGATCGCAAACTCTCAAGATCCAAGACTCACCGAGACTCAACAACTTCAAGTATAATATCAAATTCCAAGTAATTCCACCAACTCGTAGTATCAAAAACCCTCGAATCTATCCAAACTTAAGTTTCAACTCACCCACCACCGTCTCTCCCACTCAAAAACCTCCCACTATCTAACGTTGTATCATATTCCTTACCAACGTGCGAGCGACTAGCGATCCAAGCACCTAAGTTCTAACAGATCCAAGACATATTCGTCTAAGTTTTTGTCCGTCTTTCGTGGCGCACGAAATCCTCGCGTCGCGCCGCGTCGTTTCGCCGGTCCACTCGATCTTTCGCGTCGGTTTTTCACCGACATCCATTATCCAGCCGCGACGTCGGACGTCCCTCGCGATCGCCTCGATTTCGATCCCGACGATCGGCTAAGTGATTCTTCTCTTCTCCCCTCCTCTTTAACCAATCGTCCAAGGGACTCGTGGCGAATGAATCTTACATGGTACGCCTGAGCCAGGCCAGCTCTATATATCATTCTCGCTGGAAAACTGTACCCGATCTCCTTGGTCCTTCTCCTCCTCCTTCTTTTTCTTCTTCTTCTCTCTTTCTCCTCTTCTTCTTGTCCTCTTGCTAGTGTTCGCGGCGGTGCTGAGAACGATTCCGTGCCAACTGCCGGATACCTTGGTTCCACCGCGATATGGAACTATTCCGGTTTATTGGAGGTGGCGTATGCAGCCAAACATCTGGCCCTCCCGCGAGGATATATCGCCGACCTGGGACGATTACGGCCGCTGTTTCACACTCGTTACCTCTCTTGCGTCGGCGGTTTTAGGGATAGAGCTTTTGTTCGTGGGATTCGGCCGATATCGAGGTGAATTGGAACAGGTGGAGGAAGTGGAAATTGAGTTCGAGGGGATGTTCTTCCTGGGTGATTGTTTGATTTGTATCGGATAGAGTTTGCTGCGAGTTTTACGCCCGTTTTGTTAAGCATTCGATGAGTTTTGAGTTGAAATTAATCTTAAGTAATGAAACTTAGTGGAATTTTCTGGTTTTTAAATGTTGAGAGTCACGCGAATGTCAAGAAAAAGTCGCTTATGTTTCAAAAAATTGCGCGAGTTCCTCGGAATATTTGGAATTTTGCTTCCTTTTATGAGATGTAGCTGAGTGTTGATGAATTAATCGTGCTGGGTGCATGATTGGTTTTTTGTTGTTTTTGTGGAAAGAATTAGTTAACTTTGAAGAAGATCGATGTTTCTCTGTTTTGAAATGTATTATGGAAAGTATGGAGACGATGATTCCGTCTCTCAAAATCGAGTTTCTTGACCCGGAATTATCCCAGTTCAGCAGTTTACCTCTATCGCTGACATCCTTCATGGAAGTGAGCGAAGTTTTAATGGAAAAGACGTCCGGGAATAAATTATCTCGACGTGCGTTTAGGATAATTAGAGAGGTTGTTTATTACACCTCGCACTTATCCTCGTTTCTCGTTTATTCGAGAACAGTCAATTTCAAATTCCTTTCACTCAAGCTCTTAATACCGCTAATGGTCTGTAATCGAAAAATCGATGCAGAGACATCAGTGTCCAATTAAAACGGAGACTCTTCAATTTATTTCGTCCCAATTTTAATTTATTTTCACTCATAAAGTTCAGCGTTTCACGCGATCTCTAATTCTTTCCTTCAACAAACTTCGAAAGAAGAGGACCTCCGCACTGATTTCCTCCACATTTATCCAAATTTTTAATTATTTTCCTCACAGAATAATTTCCTTCAATTTTAATCTGCTAAAATTCAAATAAAATCCAATTCTTTGGATTACACATTGTCCAATTCTTTTCTTCAACAAACTTGGAAAAAAGAGGACCTCGCGGCATAATTCCCTTCAATTTTAATTTACCTCCACGTTCACTCCAATTTTAATTAATTTTCACTCGTACAATTGAAGGAAAATTCAGAGTTTCACGTATCGTCCAATTCTTTTTTCTTTTCTCCACGAGGAAGAAGATAAATGTCCCCGGAAAACAACAAGAGTGGCCACTGAAACGGCTCGTCACGTCCCATATTCTTAGTTAGCCGGTACGACGAATAGAGAATTTTCGAGTTGGCCGAGGTCGTCGACAAACGGCTCGGCCAAACGACGTCGAAAACGAGCTTTCCGGCTTAATTAACGCGCCCGTGGGACTCTCCTCGTTACGCTTCTTCGTCCTGATAGAGCCACTTCTAGCCGTAATGCAACCAGCGCACCGGCGAGCGACGCTTCTTGCGTCCCGACGCCGACGTCCCGCAAAGTCTCCGTCGCATAATGTAACGCGTTCGACCGAACTTCACTGTCGTTTCGATCCCCTCGACCCGGTTTTTCCGCCATCGAATCGGTACCAAGCTGCTCGACCTCGATGAACTCGCCTCTTTCCTCTGGTGCACAGCTTGTCTTCT